AGTCCCTAACGTTGTGTTTCTTATTCAAAGAGAAGGTATAAGCGGTTTTATCCAGGATACGTGGTCCAATTGCACGCCTGGATCTTTCTTAAATCAAATCTATCCATTCTGGAGTTTTGCTTTTTTTTGAGGAAGTTTGCCTCGATATTGCTCTTACCCTCGCAAATCAATCCGTCTATAGCTGTCTATAAAGTTCTGATGAGCAACTCAAGTGAGTGGCGAGGCTTTACAGGCATTTTGACAAGTTGAAGTGAAACACTACAAATCATAGATCATTCGAAAGAGAAGATTCTCCTTTTTCTAGTACCCTCGCAACTGACTACAGCTACAGCAGCAGGCTTGTCAATCCAAGTGACCTAGAAAGATCTAACTGGATCTTCTTGTATGATATTGTGTCCAAATCATTTATTTGGCAGAATTCTCGTGAAAGTTATCTATGCATATGCAATTTATTCTCATGATTACATTGCTATAATGCAAATAGTTTTCAATTTGATTTGATACCGCCCTTCGCAATATTCTGTCCTTGTATCTGATGGAAGACCATAACAGGCATACGAAATGGTTTTTTAACCTCCTGTCTTAGAATGGAGGGGCAAATTTCCACCCTATCGCAGGTATGGTGAGAACTCAAGCGTGATATTTTTGCTTTGACACCTTCTTTGAACCCTATTGCAACAGATGTTCTCATGCGCATAGCAAACAATAGTCGCGATGTCGCTATATAATTGAAAAATGATTGCTACTCAAACTCACAAATGGGAAAAAAAAGACGCTAAGACATATGGAATCTGTTTCTTCCTTAGTAAATAATATCATAATTAGATAGGTGTGGAAAAGTGCTAAACCAAAAATCGCAATAATTTAGTCAGAAGACAAACAAAGAAAATGGACAACGCATATTATTGGAATGAAGTAGTATCCATCATCCCAGCAAGATTTTGAACAATATTATCACTCAACATCCTTGTGACCTGAAAACAGCATAAAAGAAAGACTATCGCAAATACAGCTAAATCCAGAAAGTTTTGATGTTACCTCCTCTCCAAGATGCCTTTTAGGGTCTTGTTTTCCCACATTTTTTATAGCCAGCTCTTCGTCAGTCATTTTTTCTTCGTCTTCCAGAGCCTGGACATTCAAGATCAAAGAATTGAAAAGACCATGGTGTAGATACCTACCTTTTTGTACATCTTCGCGAGCTTAAACATTGCCTGCATGCTTTCTTTATTTTTTTCACTGCAGCTGGTATAATTTCTTACAGCTAAAGAATCCATCCAAGACTGTTTGTTCAAATTCAACAGCATCTTGAAAGGAAAAAAAGGATTTGTGGTGACAAAAAAAAAGGGAGAATCAAAGTCACCTTCTGCTCCAAATCATGGGTTCGGTAAGCTATCGGGATTGAGTAGTAATGTCGATTAAGGCCGTGAATTAAGGCCTAACAAGGTTAACGAAGCGTATTTCAAAAAACAATATTGAAAGGATTTCAATTTTCTAACCTGGATGCTTGGCTTCTGCAAATGTCCGAGATTACTAGTTGTCTGACGAGGTTCCTGATTGAGTGCCATTGTTTGTGGATTTATAGTACGGAACGCATCTATGACGACCTGCAGGAAAACGTTGCAAAACGACTTTATAGTGAAGCTTGTAGTGTGGTTCCATTAACTAAGTTGCTTTTCGAGTGATGCGAAATAAGTTTTTTTGGATTATATTAACGTGCTGTCTGTAAAAACCCAAATGAATAGGTTTGGAAGAACATTTCTCCTTTGAATCACTTTCTTAAAACTCAAATTCATCAAAGTTCAAAAACAAACCTTTCCTTTGACGGACTGAATAGGGTCAACGACGACTGCCACAGCACGATCTGATAAGGCTTCAAATGACTGTTGAGTATTTACGTCGACGCCTGACAGCCAACATCCAAAACCGGGATGGGAGTGATACCTAAGAGATATCAAGGAATGTAGACTTAAGAATTTGTACACTAAAAAAGCATAAACAGATGAAGAAACAGGTTATCTTGAAATCGTTAGGAGCACTGGTAGAGTTGTGACATGGATTTTTAATGGCTAGACATTATATTCTAGAGGTGAAAACAACATACCAACCGACAACCATTTCCGGTCGGCCTGTTTGTTTCAACATGTCAAGCATTTTTGCTTGAAACACAGGATCCACAGCTTCGACAGATACACCCTAGAAGCGTCCACATTCTTTAAACGGAAAAGAAAAGAATATGCGATAAAATACTAACTGTTCCGGATTGAGGCATAGCAAAAACGTCTATGACATTCACTGTATACTCGTCCACAAATTCACCAAGCATTAGACCCATAACCTAAATTTGCATTGCGAACAGAATAAAATAAGATAAGAGAACAAAAAAAAAAAACCTTGTGATAGTTTACAGGAGGGAGGACAAAGAGATCTAATTAAACCTATTAAACTATGCAATCCATAATGCATACCTCCATTGGTACTCCAGCCCTTCCATGCTTAAGCATTTTCAACAGCGCGAGAGACGAAATGTACACTGTTTCAGAGGTATCCACCTGGTTAGAATCGGATGGAGGTCCGCCACCAAACTGAAGATAGAAAAAATTGTAAGAAGCGAATGAAGTGTAGGATGTTAGGGAGTCTAGATTGAGTCTCCCACGAAAACCACTTTATCTAATCTATTTTAAAAAAGGTCCTTCACACGTTTTGCAAACGTAATCGGTATTTTTCTCAATGAGTACATGTATGCAGCACTATGTGGATTATGGTGGGCTACTCAAACATTGCTTTAATAACCTGCATATTGTTTTGGAAGTGATATTGAGAATTTCTAGCAAAATTAGCAGTCACGAGGAATAGCATTTGATGAAAGTTTAAATGTCATCGAAAGTGAGGTGATGTAAGCTGGCTTTTGGTGGAACTAAACAGGGCTTCATGTGTCTCAAGCATAGAACCTTTAAAAATAACACTATCCAAACCTCACTTTCGACAGCATTTTGGATTTTCAATGTTAATTGTCGTAATTACTTACCTTTGACGAAAATATTAATTACAAGTCATTTAAGCTCCAATAAAAAAGAAAACAGCACAGCAGATCAAAGATGAAAAAATGAAGAATTGAAATACCTGCCCAAGTCCACCTCCGAGCCCTCCTAATCTAAGAAATCTTTCCATTTTCCTGAATGAGAAGAATAAGACGACAATAATAAGGTGAAAAATGAAGCACTAAAAATAGAGGAAATGCATTTTTTGTGAAGAAAGATATTCGAACCAATAGTGACTGACCAGTACCAAAAAATCTAATTTTCTCAGAATGATTACAAAATTTCAATCAAATTCGTGCTTCTGTACTCACAAAACTGTGTATACCGACGCATTTCTGCAGAAACGCAATTTATCTTGGAGCGTGATCTTTCTAGCGCCAAGACAAGCTAACCGGGT